GCGGCAACAAAACTCGTTGTGGCAAATGTGGTGAAAACCACAAAGAGGATTCTTGCCACAAAGAATCAGTAAAATGCGCTTACTGTGGCGAGAATCCTCACCCCTTGCAGGAGTGCCCGATGTACAAAAAGCACTCCGATAAAGTGCAGCGTTCAATCTCTGGACGCTCCAAGCAGACATATGCTCAAATGTTGAAGGCTGCATCAGCCGTCCAAGATGCAAACCAATTTTCGGTTTTGTCAGTTGAAGAATCGGACTCTGACTCATCCGATGAAGGTGATTCTACGGTGGTACACGCACCTTCAAAAATAGATGGTTCCTCAAAAAGAAAATACCCCTCACCGAAAGTGCGCCGTAAGAAAACTAAAGTCACCTCCAGACGATTGCCAAATTCCCAGGGTAATGGGGATGAAAAAACAAAACCGAAGGCTCCTGTTGATCCAATCCCTGGATGCAGCAAGAATTTTCCGCCATTGCCCAACAAAGATAAAAAAAATAAAAAAGCTGCTCCTCAAACTTCTCAAAAGAAATCCAAGTCCGAACGAGGTTTGCTAGCTTTTTCGGACATTGTGGAATTCATATTAAACATGTTCAACATACAAGACCCTCTAAGAAGCTTAGTTTCTGCCTTGCTTCCAACGTTAGAATCATATCTTAAGCAATTGACTGTTTCATGGCCCCTCCTTGCATCAAGCATATCTTTCGATGGATAATTCGTCGAACGAGGTTGAAGATATGATCACTGTGCTACAGTGGAACTGCCGTAGTCTAGTGCCTAAACTAGACTCGTTCAAATTTTTACTTCACAATTCTGATTGTGATATATTTGCTCTCTGTGAAACATGGCTTTCTTCTGATAAAGAACTCAACTTCCACGATTTTAACATTATACGCCTGGATAGAGACGATTCTTATGGAGGAGTACTTTTAGGGATCAAAAAGTGCTACCCTTTCTACAAAATTTCCCTTCCTGCTCTATCCAGCGTCGAAATCGTTGCTTGCCAAATAAATGTGAAGAACAAAGATCTTTGCATAGCTTCAGTATACGTTCCACCAAGAACCTCCATTAGCCGTAGTCAACTCTGGAATCTAGTTTCGATTCTTCCATCCCCAGTATTAATTCTGGGTGATATGAACTCCCATGGTACTGGGTGGGGCGATCTATATGACGACAATAGAGCGGCTATTTTTTACGATTTATGTGACGATTTCAATTTGACTATTTTGAACACTGGTGAAGCGACACGTATAGCAAAACCTCCGGCTCGAGAAAGCCGACTCGACCTATCTTTGTGTTCAAGATCGCTATCATTGGATTGTCAGTGGAAGGTTATCAATGATCCCCATGGTAGCGATCATTTGCCAATCATCATTTCAATAAAGTGTGGCCCTCACTCTGCAGAACCATCTCGGGTTCCATTTGATCTTACAAGGAACATCGACTGGCAGAAATATGCAACGGCGGTGACAATCGGTGTCGAATCAATAGATGCGCTTCCACCATTGGAAGAATATCGATTCCTAGCCGATTTGATTTACAAAAGCTCACTGGAAGCACAAAAAAGAAAAGTTCCAAGTGCACCCTTTAAAAGGAGACCAGCCACACCTGGTTGGGACGAAGAATGCACAAAATTGTATGTAGAAAAATCTGATGCTTTCAAAGCTTTTCGTAGACACAAAACCTCCACTTACTTCGAGGAATATTCAAAGCTTGAGACAAAGCTGAAACAATTAATCAAAGCAAAAAAACGCGGTTATTGGCGCAATTTCGTCGAGGGACTCTCACGAGAAACCTCAATGAACACCTTGTGGAGGGTGGCTCGCAACATGCGTAACCGCTCATCTTTCAATGAGAGTGAAGAATACTCCAACCGATGGATATTCGATTTCGCTAAAAAGGTCTGTCCGGACTCAGTTCCAGCACAAAATATTCTTCGAGAAGCGTCTCCTAGCGGCGGCTCTCTGGATAGACCATTCTCAATGCTGGATTTCTCTATGGCTCTTCTTTCATCGAACAACTCCTCACCGGGAAGCGATATGATTAAATTCAATCTTCTGAAAAATCTCCCAGATATCGCTAAAAGACGCTTGCTAGATTTATTCAATTCCTTGCTAGAAAACAACATTGTACCGCCTGAATGGAGACAGGTCAAAGTAATAGCCATTAAAAAACCTGGCAAATCAGCGTCTGACCATAACTCATACCGTCCGATTGCTATGCTTTCGTGCATTAGGAAATTGTTGGAGAAAATGATCCTTCGGAGACTCGATCACTGGGTCGAATCAAATAACTTGCTATCAAATACACAATTTGGGTTCCGCAAGAGCAAAGGAACAAACGATTGTCTAGCGCTGCTTTCCACAGATATTCAACTGGCCTTTGCACACAAGGAGCAATTGGCTTCAGTATTCTTGGACATTAAGGGGGCTTTTGATTCAGTTTCCATTGAAATTCTGTCAGACAATCTGCACAGATGTGGACTTCCTGGAATTTTAAATAATTTCTTGTACAATTTGTTGTCAGAAAAGCAAATGAACTTTTCCCTTGGACAACTGACAACTTCCAGAATTAGCTACATGGGCCTGCCCCAAGGCTCATGTCTCAGCCCTCTTCTTTATAACTTTTACGTCAAAGATATCGACAACTGTTTGGCAGAACAATGCACGCTAAGACAACTTGCAGATGACGGTGTGGTTTCCGTAAGAGGTCCACATGCCGTGGACTTGCAAGGACCATTGCAAAATTCCTTAGATAACTTGTCTTCTTGGGCTATGAATCTAGGGATCGAATTCTCGCCGCAGAAAACTGAACTGGTAGTGTTTACTCGAAAGCGGTACCCAGCCCAAATGCAGCTTAATCTTTTGGGCAGAAACATTACCCAATCATTGTCTTTCAAGTACCTTGGGGTCTGGTTTGATTCAAAGTGCACTTGGAATGCCCATATTACGTATTTGAAGCAAAAATGTCAGCAGAGGATCAACTTTCTCCGTTCAATTTGCGGCACATGGTGGGGTGCTCATCCGGGAGACCTCATAACGCTTTATAAAACAATTATTCTCTCTGTTCTAGAGTACGGCTCTTTCTGCTTTCTCTCGGCAAGAAAAAGTCACCTAATAAAATTGGAACGAATTCAATATCGTTGTCTGCGTATTGCTCTAGGCTGTATGCACTCAACGCATAACATGAGTCTCGAGGTTCTGGCAGGAGTAACACCCCTCCAGAACCGTTTCTGGGAGCTCTCTCTCAGAATACTAATCAAATGCGGAGTGACGAACACACTTATAATTGCTAATTTTGAAGAAATTCTTGGGTTGAACACACAATCTCGATTTATGAGAATCTACCACCACTACATATCATCAGATATGTGTCTTCCTTGTTATACTCCAGACCGTGTTCACTTCACCAATCGCAGTTCCTCAATTGAATATGATCTGACCATGAAACAAGCAACTCATGGGATTCCCGATCAACTTCGACCTATTATTATCCCACGTATTTTTACTGAAAAGTACCAACAAGTCAATTGCATGAAAAGATATTTTACAGACGGGTCCCGTCTCAATGGATCCACTGGCTTCGGTGTCTTCAATGAAAACTCTAGCGCCTTCCGCAAACTTCAGGAACCTTGTTCCGTTTTTGTTGCTGAGCTGGCAGCAATCAACTTCGCATTGGGGATGATTTCCAATATGCCCACAGACCATTACTTCATCTTCTCGGATAGTCTCAGTTCGATTGAGGCTATTCGGTCGATGAAACAAGGTAGGCACTCATCTTATTTCCTTTCAAAGGTAAGGGAGCAGATGTGTGTGCTGGTCGAAAGATCATATATGATTACCTTTGTATGGGTCCCCTCACATTGCTCAATCCCAGGCAATGAGAAGGCGGACTCTCTCGCAAAGGTGGGCGCGCAGGAAGGCGAATTGTATGACAGGCAAATTTCACACGATGAATTTTACCATTTAGTGCGTCAGAGTACCTTTTCGAGTTGGCAAACCGATTGGGACACTGGAAATCTTGGACGGTGGTTACATTCAATTATTCCTAATGTTTCTTCGAGAGCGTGGTTTAAAGGCTTGGGCTTAAGTCGTGACTTCATTCGCGTGATGAGTAGACTTATGTCCAACCACTACTCGCTAGATGCTTATCTCAATAGAATAAACCTCGTGGACAGCAACATCTGTCGGTGTGGAAACGGTTACGATGACATCGAACACGCAGTTTGGCAATGTACGGATAATGACGCCGCCAGAGAGCGACTTTTGAATACCCTCGAGGCCCAAGGAAGACAACCCTATGTTCCTATCAGAGACGTGTTGGCAACCCGTGATCTCTGCTATATGCAGTCCGTTTATGTTTTTCTTCAAATGTCTAGTATAAGAATTTAATTCCTTTTGTCTTTTGTCTCTCTTTATTAGTTTTTGTTTGTCTTGTCCCCCCGTCTCGATGAGTCTCATCGTCGCCCACTGGTCACCCACCATAGCCGGTCGAACTCCGGACGAAGCTAGAACAGCACTACCGTTCATACTGGCGACAACGCTCTGATGAGACAACGAAACCCTACCCCAAGCTCCTCCCCTGATCCTATCCTTCGAAAATGTACCCTTCTAACCTCGAGTAAGCCGCGAGTAATCGGCCCAACTCCTACTAGACATAGAATTAAGTGAATTTTGTTACACACAGTGAACAATGAATTATCGGCTCCGTAAAGCTAACGCGATTGAGCCTCCCAAATAAACGAACTAGATAAAAAAAAAAAAAAACGACGAGAAACCGCATCGAGGACTACGTTCGTGATCTTACGGGGGATTTGTCACGTGAGCTGACGAAAATATGTGATGAAGTGACAAATTTGAGCAGTCTAACCATGGACATGGCTGCGCAATGCACTGAATGGTGTTCTACTTCAAATCTGTTGACTGGAGAGCAATGTCTTGCCGACGCAGTTGGTGGGGACATTTTGAATGAAATTAAATGCCTTGCCTCTGTAATTAATACTATGGACGCACGTTTGCCGTCCCCGCCCAGCCTAATGGGCGAATTGAACAACAAAAACTACCGAAATGATGCCACCGACTCCGGTTGGAGGGTTTTGGGCGACAGGAAGGTGTGGAAAGCTGATTGGACGGAGTACGATGCTCGAAAATCGCGACATCTGAGCCAGGAAAAATTGACTGCAAAGGCTAGTAAGCGGAGAAAGCAGAAAAGGGCCTACCAAAAAATGTTCAACAAAAACAACAACTCACACAATCATAGAAGAAACAACAACAACAACAACTACAACAGAAACAACAACGACTACAACTGCAACACCAATCACGCCAACAACAACCACAACAACAAAAACAACAACAACAACAGCAAACATAACATCAACCACAACAACAACAATTTTGGCAACAACAACAACAATAACATATCTAACAATTATCGAAACAACAACACTAACCGTAACAGTTTCCACAGCAGTGTTAGTCAGAATAGAAACAACCTACTGCCACCTGATCGAGAGCTTCTTGCGGCAGCGAAAGATCGGTTTTCCAGACCGCCGCAGGCTAACTATCGACCCACAATGCAATTCCAACGAGGGGAAATCCTAAACCCCTACCCGTCGTGCGATGTTTACCCACGTACCGTTTCAGCGCACTTGCATAACGGGATGGCTGCAACTGCATCATGCGAGGCGTGTGTATGCAGGAATTCGTGTTTTGTACGAAATTGACGCACCCCTTGGAGGAAGACAATGATCCGGCAGACCCCGACATTATCCAGGACTTGACGACTTCTCTACATCAAGGAGAGGCACTCGTTTTTTCTACAAAACTGACACGCTCCATAGAGGAAGAAAATAACGAAGATCACGACACTTTGCATAACGAAACAAATTCGGAACATGGATCAGGGGTAAATAATTTTGATAATAGTTTTATGAATGACAGGTTACCATCAACTTCTTCGCCTAATCTTCAGACCAGTACAGAAATTTTGGTATATTGCCAAAATGTTAACCGCATGAGAAGCGCCGGTAAAATGAATGAAATTAACAAAAATATATTAAGTTCTACTTACTCTGTCATAATGGCTAGTGAAACAAGTTGGGATGATAGTGTGAGAAGTGAAGAAGTTTTTGGTAACAGTTATAACGTTTATAGAGACGACCGCAATTTTCAATGGTCTGGAAAAAATTGGGAGGTGGAGTATTAATAGCTATTTCGACCAAATTGAATGCAGAAATCATTATGGCTACTAAATTTAAAGAATTCGAACATGTATGGGTAAAAGCGCAAGTAGCAGATGAAACTCATGTCTTTGCTTCGGTATACTTTCCTCCGAAAAATGCTCATAAATAAGGACACGTATGATAAGTTTTTTGGAAAAGCGGAAGAAATTTTGTCTAGTTTACCACCTGAAGTAAAAGTACATATATATGGGGACTTTAACCAACGCAATGTTGACTTTATTTCTGATATGGACAATGAAAGCATCTTACTTCCAGTCATTGGGGAAAATGAAACACTCCATTTCATTTTTGACAATATTGCAAATTTAGGACTTAATCAAATTAACCATGTGAAAAATCAACAAAATTGTTATTTAGACCTTTTATTAACAAATACTTATGAAGATTTCTGTGTGACTGAATCGTTAAGTCCCATATGGAGAAATGAAATGTTTCACACAGCAATAGAATATTCTTTATTCGTTCACATAAATGAAAGAACCAACGACTGCGAATTTGATGAAATCATTGATTACAATTCAGCAAATTATGATAACATTAGAAATAGATTGAACATTGTCGATTGTCAAGCAATATTAAGAACTGCAGGAAATGTTGAATGTGCAGTTGACGTATTCTACAATGTGTTGCTTGAAATAATACTTGAAGAAGTGCCAACTAAAAGAAGAAGACGTCAGAGTCATGCAAAACATCCGGTTTGGTACAACAGGGAACTGAAAAATTTAAAAAATCAAAAGCAAAAAGCGCACAAATTTTATGTTTGTTTTCATGAAAGCTTTAGCAACTGAACTTACTGCTCCATTATTTTGGATTTTCAATATGTCACTGGAATCCGGAAACTTCCCTAAAATATGGAAAAACTCGTTTTTAGTGCCTATCTTTAAATCGGGCAAAAAATCCGACATACGTAATTATCGTGGTATAGCTATAATCTCTTGCATTCCGAAACTTTTCGAGGCGATTGTGAATGAAAAACTCTTTCTTCAAATTAAAAACAGAATAACTACTATGCAACATGGCTTCTTTAAAGGCCGTTCAACAACTACGAATTTGCTCGAATTAGTTAATTATTCCTTGAATGCAATGGATAACGGAAACCATGTAGAAGTGTTGTATACAGATTTCAGCAAAGCGTTTGATCGAATTGACATACCCATGCTTCTTTTTAAACTTCAAAAAATGGGAATTCATTACGCACTCCTCAAGTGGCTTGAACCATATTTAACTGACCGTCATCAAATAGTAAAATACAAAGGAAAGACATCAAATCCCGTTGATGTCACTTCTGGAGTTCCTCAAGGCTCCCATTTAGGACCGCTTTTATTTATCCTCTTCGTCAATGACATATCTTTCATTATTAAGAAATTGAAAGTTTTAATCTATGCTGACGACATTAAACTTTTTTTGGAAATAAAAGATGCCAAAGACATCATCACATTGAAAGAGAAAATACAGATATTCCATACTTGGTGCCAAAAAAGCCTGCTACAATTAAATATAAAAAATGTAACTCAATTACCATTAGTAGAACACGAACCCTACCCGATATAACAATCACTTTAGGACACCATATCGTAGAAAAGTGTGATAGAGTCAGGGATCTAGGTGTTATTTTGGCTCAAAACTTACTTTCACCGATCATTATAACACAATTATTAACAGAGCTAACAACATGCTTGGTTTCATAAAACGTTTCTGCTATAACTTTCACGATCCGTATACGATAAAAACATTGTACATTGCTTATGTAAGATCGATATTAGAATATTGCAGCATAGTTTGGTCACCTTTTTCAATCACACACGAAGAAAGAATAGAGTCCGTTCAAAAGCAGTTTCTGTTGTATGCACTCTGCAAGTTAGGTTGGACTGTATTTCCTGTGCCATCTTACACAGCTCGGTGTATGCTCATAAATATCCAAACATTAAAAAAGCGTCGTGAATTTGCTATGATTTCTTTCGTAAACGATATCGTATCACATCGCATTGATTCTATAGAACTATTGTCATCCTTAAATTTATATACACCATCTAGGCATTTACGAAATAGAAATATATTTGCTACAAATCGTCATCGTACGAATTATGCCAAATTTGGACCCTTGAACCAAATCATGGATACATACTGCGATAACATTGACTTTACAATGACAAAAACCATGTTTTAACTTGTTCTCAAGACATATTATAAAAAATATAAACAAAGACAAAATTGTAAATATAGCTCTTAAGACAACAATTGTAAAACGGTCTACACTGATTGACGACAAATAAATAAATAAATAAAATAAATAAATAGATCAATCTTTCCGCAAAAGAATCGATCCAGAACATCATCGTACTCAATCTACATTTGGAGTAGAACGAATCATCGGACTAGATATGATCCTACAGTTAGCAATTGATGCAGTGCATACATTCTTAAAAATATTTTCAGGATATTAATTATAAGTTAATTTCCAGGTATTTTCTACTCCGATCTGGCTAGAAGTGTTCTAAGAGAATTTGCTCGAAAACCAAGACCATTTACTGAATTGGCAAATTTCAAAGCAACGGAATTTCGACTTTTTGACAGCTACGCAGGCATCTTGATTACAAAAAAGTTCTTCCAAAACGATCAGCATGAGCACTTTCTTCTATATTTTTCCGCACTTCGTCTTTTGTCGGCCAGAAACCCTTTACCGGCGGATGTGGATTTAGCTCGAGAGTTTCTTCGTGATTTTGTGTTTCGTTTCCATGTGTTTTACGGCCAAACTAGTCTAACCCACAATGTGCACATGCTTCTTCACTTGCCTGATTATGTAAAGCTGTATGGGAATTTACCGTCAATAAGCGCATTTAAATACGAAAACTTCATGCAGGAGATCAAGCATAATTTAACCAAGAAACATCAGCACCTCTAGCAGCTTCATAAACGAATGGCTGAACAATGCAATATTGGCGAGAGAACAAGAAAGGAGAGACATTTCGCAGAACAGTTTCAGATGAAGAAGGCTTTATTTGGATGCTCTTTCGCATATCGTACTTGCTATTTTGATAATTCTTTAATGATTAGTGCTAATGGCAAGGATGATTGTATACTGGTAGACGGAATTCCTGCAAAAGTATTAGGATTTGCAGAATCGGAAGGATCACGTGGAGCAATCATCCAGGAGTTCTTGGAAATTCTTTCGTTTTTTAATTCGCGTATCGCTTCATCGAGGATTGGAGTTTGGTTCTCTCGAACCTTGAGCAATGACGTTAAATTTGTGAATCTTGCTGAAATAACCAAAAAAATTAGTAAAGTTGCCTTTCGGTAAAGGATTTGTTTTGATAACTTTGCTTCATATAGGTTACGACTAAGCTGAACAATTGAGATGTCGGACAACAGTAACCTCAAACGGTTCTTGGAACGTGAATTCGCACGTGTGAATGGAAAAATAGAGAAAGGTAATTTACACTGCCGGACAAAAGATTGATGCTACACCTAAAAAGCATAAGAAAGTTCTTGTCCTTATTTCGAACCCCATAAGTGCATACAATTCTATTCACCTCTCTTTCCTTCTGCTGTAATTTTTATGCATTTTACCCAATTCGATCTGTTTAGATCTAAAAGATCTAAACAGATAGAAATTGGAAAAATGCACAATATTTGCAGCAGACGGAAAGAGAGGTCAATAGACTACAGTGAACATTTGCTCATTGCAAACTCGCTAATCGCAACATTTTTTAATTGCAAGTCCGCTAATTGCAACGTCTTGCAATTAAAAAGCAGCTATCTGTCAAAAACCACGTGGTGAATGCAGGCGAATGCACTTTAGTGTCAAAGTGACATTAGTTTGACGTTGCAAATGCGTTGCGATTAGCAAATGGCATTCGCTTATTGCAATGTAAACGTGTTGCAATGAACGAATGATGACTGTAGTATGCAAACGGTGTATATTTAAATTTCTCTGAATGTTGTGGCTTTCTCAGTCTAGGGAAATCCAAACGGTTAAATTTGGATACCGTTTGGATTTCTCTAGACTGAGAAAGCCACATCATTCAGCTAAACTCATTACCAGTCGCACCCCCCAGAGAATTTAAATTTCTCTTTGTAATTACTCATCTGAAAGAGTTAATTTTAATTGAGGGGGTTAGAAGCAAAGGGGTGTAAGTGACAAAAACCTAGTTTTGAGAAAAAGGTCTTTTAAGTTAGGCCAATTTCGTATCTTCCCAGACAAAATGTATGAGATTTCAAAAATTAAACCAGTTTTCTCAGAATTATGATAATTTATTCTGTTTAACTTAAAAATCTTACAAAAATACTAGCGCAAATTTGACCAAAATGTCACTTACACCCCTTTGCGTTTGGGCCCCTCAATTTTAATTAAGCTGTGAAATATGTTATTATTTCCTTACACAGCAAAAAAATAATTTTGATATCACATCAAAGTGGATGCACTACAACCATGTCGAAAATTTCATGTAATTTTTATGACCACATAAATAAACAAATGCAGT